GGCCGCTGGAGAGATGGCTCAGTGGTTAAGAGCACTGACTGCTCTTGCAGAGGACCCAGGTTCGATTCCCAGCACCCACCTGGTGGCTACGAACTGTCCTTAACTGCAAGTTCCAAGGGAATCTGAAGCCCTCTTCTGACCTCTGCAGCACTGCATGACACAGGTGTACTCACATACATGCAGGGAATACACTCACACACATAAAATTTTAAAAAAGACCATAAATGGTACTATTTAACTTATGGCTGCATGTGACTCCATTCATGCACTGTCTGAAGCAGGCAAATGCATAAAGACAGGAAGCAGATTAGTGCTTGCCTAGGGCCAGGAGATGAGGAAATTGGAATTGACCTACTAGACATAGGGCGTCCTTTATAGAGAAAAATGAAAAATGTTCTAAAATTGATTGTAGATGTGTGTGCAACATTGTATGTTAAAACTACTGAGTATTATACTTTAAATGGGGGCAGGAGTGCCTGGGATATAAATTAAACTCTACATAAAGTTGTTTTTAATTGACAAAACAGGTCATGTGGTTTTTGGCATGGTCAGTGCACACTCATTTGTAAAGCCCTGGGCCCATTTAGAAGTCTGACTTCCCTGAAGGTGCTAGCTGTGACCAAGCACAAGTCACAGGCAGAGGCAATACATTCTAGCTAAGCTCAGTGTTTCAGTCATCACAGGCCAACGTTGAAGACACCTTCAGATGACTGTAGTCCCATCCCAGGTGGGGTGACCTGTGCCCCATGTGCCAATACCTGCCACAGAATCTGAGTACCATAAAACGACGGCTTTCTAATTCTACGCAGTCCTCACTCCACTCCTGAGTCTACTGGCTCCCCCGCAATCTCTCTTAACACTGGGATATCTGAAGCCATTTCTGTTCCTAACTCACTCCCAGAAGCTGTGTGGTTTTAAGCACCATGGTGATGATGCTAATTTCACATCATCATCTGGACCCCCCTCTGAACTTGCATATATATTCACCTGCTTATCTGACATCTCCACCTGGATTTACAATTGGCACCTAAGACAAGAAAGACAAACTTCTTTCCTCCAAACCTGCTCTTTTCCCGACTGCGTTCATCTCAGTAATCTGCAGCTCTCAGTCTAGCCAACATTTTGGCTCCTTCACTTACATTGTCACATGGCTCCTAGTCTCTCTCAGGTCCCTACTAAAAGGACCAAGGAGGCCTTCCTTGACTGCATTTGAAATAGTGACACTCACTTCCACCCACGAATTGCCCACTTTTACTCCAGGCACTACCCCCACCTGATACTCCAGCCTCTGACTGGCCTCTCACATGAGCTCCACGGAAGCAAGCCTTCCACCCGCTTTGCTCGCTGCTCATGGTCCCAAGGCCCAAATAAGATCAAATATCTTTGACATTCAATAATTACTTAGCTCTTGAGTGAATAAAGAATTCCAAAGAATTCAGGAGCAAGAACAAAGGAGGTCAAGAGCACAAGTAGAACGTCAGCTTCAAAAGGAGAATGAACACACCCTTGTCTTGGGAAAGACAAAAGGATGTCTACAGGCTTTGGATATCCAAGCACAGTGATGCCAGGAAAGCTGCTTTCACACAGCAGTGCCTGTTCAACGCTGCACTCAGGCCTATGCATTTTATACAAGCTAACAGATGTAAGCTCTCAAACAGCCTGTGGGTAGGTTCCAGTACCATTTTATAGATGAGGAAACTGATGCAGACTAGCATCAAGTAATCTGTCCAAGATGACCATCAGTTAAATAGCAGAATGGGGTCAAAACCCTAAGAGACCCGAGTTTGGGGAGGCTCCATTCTGAGAGCGATACAGCAATGCAGGACAGAGCTGGTGAGAAGAGGTTTGGAAAGCTACTAAGAATTTGATAGGGGGAAAGAAGAGGATTTGCTGAGTAGTGCTGAGGGATGCAATTAAAAATAAGGCTTCCACGTGACCTTCCACTGTACTAGAGCACAGTTGAAACATGGCAGTTCATGGCAGAGTGCTGTGAATACCCAGCACTCAGAAGGCAAAGGCAAGAGGAGCGCTGTGAGAGCAGGTCTATGTCGTGAGTTTCAGGTCAGGCAGGGTACACAGTGAAACCCTGTCTTGAAAACTACATACATACATACATACCACAGTTAAGCCAAGTTTGTGGGTTGAAGAGACAGGAAATATGGAGACGGCAAGAAAGCAAGATGAGATGAATATACTTTTGAACTAGTTGAAAAGGGAACCCAGGAGCAAGTTAATGAACTATTAGTGAATTATTCAGGGACCTAGGACATACAGGTCATAGTCACAAAGAAGAAAAGAGTTAGAGGAAAACAATATAGGACAGGAGAGAGACATGGACAGAGCACCCATGTTATTGTGAGTACAAAAGGCTAACATCATTTCCTCCCACTTTGCCCAAACTCAGCTGTCTGCACTGATGCTTCAAATTCCCACAAACTGAGACAAAGCTAATGGTAAGGCTTAAAAAATAGGTCAACCCCATGAGGGATAATTCAATGGCTTATGTGGAGTGCTCAAGAAATAGATTCCTTCCCTAGAGCTTGTTTAGACATTAAGAACTTGGTTAAAGAGTCTGTTTATACAGTAAGAACGGTACCAAGTTGAGGTATAGTTGAAGGAGGAAATGGCCAGCTACCTGTGAAGTCAGCTCCTTTGTGTAGTTCTGGCTGGGAATTTTAGAGTAACAGCTATACTACATAAACCAAGTATTTTCTCTTTCTAGTAACCCATTCAAATAAAATGCTTTTACAGATAGCCTCATACAGTGTTTGTCTACTACTCATTGCTACTGGCAAATTCTGCCATGAGTCTCTAGGAGTCAGTATATAGATGCTCCTTATGATGGGGTTATAGCCTGATAAACAAAAAGGTGAAAATATTGTAAACAGAACATGCAGTGAATCCTCGTATACCACTCACCATCGTAACTGAGCAGCACTGCACTGTAGGGTGTCCACTGCCTGCACTTGTGATTGTGTGGCTGAGAGTTATGGCTCCCTACAGATGCCTGGTATTGTCAGGGGAGCGTGCTGTGTACCAGCACTAGCTGAGAAAAATATAAAAGCTAATGTCTGAGTAAGGTGTCTACTGAATGCATATCACTTTCCAACACCATAAAGCCAAAAATTCCTAAGTAGAAGCTTTATAAGTTGGTGTCATTTATATCGCTATTACACCATCACATCACCAAGTTCTTCAGACTCAATACCACTGGGGGCAGGAAAACTGAGTTAGCTGCAGCAAGAGGAACCAAAGACAAACTTTCTTTAGGAGTTGTAAAAAATGAACAGATAAAATGATGTCAAAATGTAGAATATTAGTCTTTAAAGGGACCGAAATTCTACAACATGGATAAACCTTGAAAACATATACTAAATGAAATAGGCCAGACACTTAGGAAAGGAAAGCATCTATGATTTCACTTATGTGAAGTGCCTGGAACAGTCAAATCCATAGGCAGAAGAAAGGGTGGTTACCAGAGGCCAAGAACAGGGAGAGTAGAAGACTGGTGCTTCGTGGGTACAGAGTTTCAGTTTCAATTTGGTAGTTCTGGAGATGGAGAGCGATGATGATACAATAGTGTAAATATACTTAATGCCATTGAACTTTACATTCTTATGGTTAAAAGAGTAAATTTTATGTACTGTATATATTGTACTATAAAGTTATGAAAATGGAATAACGTTAACAATACAGGGTTGCTAAAACTATTACCTCCACAGAAAAGAAACTATACACGTAGGAAGGTTTGGGTACAGGTATGTGTAGGATGGCACAAGAGGCCAGGATGGGGAAATGACCCGAGGATGCTCCCAACCGACAGGACGAAGAGAGGTTTCAGGACTCACAGCTACTCTGGGCTAACTGCAGCAGGAACTGTAGCTTTGGCAGTCCTGTTTTTGGTGACAGGTGACAGTGGTGAGTGAAGCCTCAGGAACTCCCAGGCATGGGATGTGCTTCTAATCAACCAGCAATGGTTCTTTTAGGCACAAAACATGAGGTCAGTAACCTTGTCTCCTTCACTATGGCCCAGACCTAGAAGATCTGGTGTGTTTTGAAAACTGTATTTTCATTTTATGTGTATGAGTGTATTGTCCACATGTATGTAAATGCACGAATGTGTGCAATACCCATGGAGGCCAGAAGAGGGAGTTAGATCCCGTGAAACTGGAGTTATGGGTGGCTGTTAGCTACCATGTGGGTATCAGGAACTGAACCTGGGTCCTCTGCAAGAGCAGCCAGTGCTCTTTGCCACTGAGCCATCTCTCCAGCCCCACCCCGTCCCTCTTTTTGAGACAGGGTCTCACTATGTAGTCCTGGCTGGCCTGAAACTTGCTATGTAGACTGGACTGACCTCAAACTCAAACAGATTTACCTGCCTCTGCCTCCTGAGTGTTGGGAAGATATTTGTTACATAGCTATTGAATGCAAATGAAGGTTAGATTTAGATTGTTTATAAAATGGAGAACAGATGTCTTCTTGAAAGTACTGTATCTGAAAAGAAGGAAAAGGCATCTAAAAACCGTGACACAAAGGAAAGGCATGGATCTTCACACACAGGACAAGGAAGGCTGCAGAGCCTCCCTGCCTTAGTTTACTTGCCGTTCTACTTTCTTGGTGAGTGGGAGGCAATCTTCACTGACAGCATGGGAAGCTCTGCTTCTCTTCATGTTCTTTGTCATCTTAGAATGGGTTAGGGCTTTGTCCATCGAGTTCCTCACACTTCCTTACAGGGTAAAATGAGGAATGAGCACAGCTATTTACCATTCAGAGGGATCCTGCGTTTATTTATTTGGGGATAGAAAAATGTTAGGAAGGGGAAAAAAGGTAAATTGTTGTTTGTTCCTTTTAGTGATTTTTCTAACTCTGCCCATCCAGCCCCCAACTTTTGGATAGATCTGCTGTACAGGAAGAAATCTGAGGAAAGGCGACAGACCCCTGACTCCCCTGGCAGAGCACATTCTACTAACCTAATGACATTTGACAATGGCATTCATAAATGTAATTATCCATGGAACTTTATTATCCAGGTTTTACGTGTCTGCTTCTGTAGATGTAAATCATTCTTAATCTATGACACACTGGGAACCATCAAGAACTGTACCTTGTGTTTATGATTTAAGAGCCTACATTTAAAACTTTAAACTTATGTTTATGTAACTATGATGATAAGGAAAATTCTAAACCAAACAGATGGATACTTATAAAAATGTATTTCAGGAGACAGTTGAAGGTAAAAAGTCCCTGTCTAACTCCTTTATAAACTGGGGGACATATAATTACTTTAAGAAGAATTCAGTTTTTTCCTAACTTCACTCCAGATTACATTAAGAAGGAAAACTTTTGGCCGTCTTGAGACTTATACCTCCTGGAATTTCAGATGGATGGCTTTTCAAAATGATTCTCATCAACACTACATGAAATCTTGTAGCTGGTAAGAAGCAAAGCATTTACATTCTTCTCAAGAATTGAGTTGAATGAAATTTCATGGGTCAACATAGTATTCCAGTGTTTACCATACTGAGCAGTAAGGAAGAATTAATTTTCACCTCCATGTATGTACAAATATGAAGTGAAAACAGAATTCTCTTCAATAGTCAATACTGTAGATTCTGTGTTAGGATTAATTCTAAGGACACCAAGTTTTGCATCTTAAGTAGAAAGTGTACTTTCCATTGTAACATCTTCAAAGAGTTTTCAGTTTGTCCTTATCTTGTTCTCTCTGACTGCAAAGTGCAAAGGATTCCTGCACAAACTGCCGGCACATCGGGCACTGCTGGAAGTATCTCACACAGCTGTCGCACAGGCAGGCATGCCGGCAGGGCAGGAGCACCCAGTTCACACTCCCGTTCTGGCATACCACACAGTCCTTGCTGTTCTCCTCCACGGGCTCCACTTCACTTTCAGACAGTCCTGCCTTCTCCAAAAGGCTCCGGTCTGCATTCCTTTCTTCTGGAGAGGGACTACTGGAGGGAGTGCAATTACTATTTGCAGACATGAAAAGTTGCTGAAAATCAAAGAAACAAGTATAAAGACAATTATAAATGAGAATTACTCTCTGAATCTGGGTACCACAAAAGCTATTCAAAATTTATGAGCTAGCAAAATCCAATGGAAAGAATAGCTAGCTTCCATAATAACGAATTGAAAACCTTAACTCTCTTTATAAACAGACATTCTTTGAACTCTGTAAACAACAAAGATTACAGGGTGCAACTTACCTTAAGATCATGAAGTTGACCTTGAGCCAGCAGTAAATATTGATACAAAATTCTGCAGGGAAGTTTATAAGTCTTATCAGGAATGTGAATTATTGATACCATGGAAATCTAAAATAAAAATTGGACATTGGTCAGTATTTCACATCCTTAGATTCTTTTACAAATACATGAAAAAATGCTTCCCAAATAAGAGACTGATATAGTCGAAAATTTACATTAATTTGTATAAATCACAGACACTTGAAAAGGAATCAGTTACTGACATATTTTTGATACATTTAAATTATACTCAAATTTATAGGCTTAATGTGGTCTCATTAAAAATATCAATGTTGGGGGCTGGAGAGACGGCTCAGTGGTTGAGAGCACTGGTTACTCTTGCACAGGACCTGAGATGGGTTCCCAGCACCCACATAGCAGCTAACACCCATCTGTAACTCCAGTTCCAGGGAATCCGACACCCTCTTCTGACTCTATGGGCACTGCACAACAGGGGTGCACTTACATACATGCAGGCAATACACTGATACACATAAAATATTTTATTTTACGTGTATTTTATTTTATTTTACGTGTATGAGTATATTGCCTGCATGTATGTAAGTGCACCCATGTCATGCAATGCCATGGAAGTCAGAAGAGGGCTTTGGATTCCCCTGGAACTGGAGTTAAGGATGGTTCGGAGCCACCATGTGGGTGCTGGGAATCAAACTCGGGTCCTCTGCAAGAGCAGTCAGTGCTCTTAACCGCTGAGCCATCTCTCCAGCCCCCAAAACAAAATATTTTTAAAAAATCAATGTGCTTTATTATAGAGCTACATGTATTGATTCTAAGATTCTCACACAGAGAAATAAAGACATAAGAATAGGTGGGAAAACGTTCAGACATCCCTGAGGCAGTCTAACCCAGCCAGATACTAAACCCTATGGCACTGATTCCTAAGTAGATGGATGGATGAGACAGAATAAATAGTCCAGAAACAAACCTAGTTACACATAAAAATACCGTGAAGATGTCATCTTAAAGCACAGTCTTTTTAAAAAACAGTTTAAGGACAAATGGACAGCTATTTGGAAAAGCATAAAATGAGATGCATGCCTCACACTAAATGTAAGAATATACTCTAAAGGTATATGAGATCCAACGTGAAAAATAAATAGCACAAAAACCAAAGGAAAACACGGAGACTCCTTTTAGTCTTAATGGAGGGAAAATTTCCTAACTATAATTCCAAGTCCAGAGGTAGAGAAGTCTGATCCATTTGATTCTGGAACAATTAAAAGTCTGCATGATAGAACAATACCATGAACAAAGTCAAAAACGCATAACAAACTCAGATAAATATTTACAATGTATATCCCAAATTAAAGGTAAATATTCCTAATTTATTTAAAAAAAAAACCCACTACAGTTCTATAGAACGGTTGTTAAGACATTCAATTAAAATTAAAACTTCACTGATAGAAAAAGAAATTCAAAACAGTGAATTTTAAAAAATTACAAGAAACGGGATGGAGAGACGACAGCTCAGTGGTTAAGAGCACTGGCTGTTCTCCCAGAGGACAAGAATTCGGTTCTCAGCATCCATGTTGGGCCGCTCACAACCAACTGTAACTCCAGTTCCGGGGGATCCAATGCCCTCTTCTGGTCATGACAGGCAACCGCACAACACACACGCACGCACGCATGCAAGTAAGTTTTAAAAAAATACAGTTAAGATTGCGGAAGTAGGGCAGCTGTACTGACTACCTTACCTATGCTGTTTTCTTTTAGTTTTTTTCTCTTAGGTGTCTTCCTCCTGTTGTTTTAAATTGCCAACATTATTATTCTATAATTAGATATGCTGTGTGTTCCAACCTCACATCATTTCCAATACTAGGAGCAACAACCTTAAAGACTTTTAAAGAGTCATACATTGTTTTATGTATTTTTTGCAAATTTGCACAAGAGAGAGAGAGCGAGAGCAAGAGAGCGAGAGATCGAGAGAGAGCGAGAGCGAGAGAGCGAGAGAGCGAGAGCGAGAGCGAGAGCGAGAGCGAGAGCGAGAGAGAGAGAAACTCTTGTCTCAAAAAAATAAGGTAGAGGGCTGGAGAAATGCCTCCGCAGTTAAATGCACTGGTTGTTCTTCCAGAGGACCTGAGTTCAGTGCACTTATATACATGCAGGCAAAATACTCATACACACAAAATAAAAATAAATTAAGCCAGGAGTGGTGGCGTATGCCTTTAATCCCAGCACTCAGGAGGCAGAGGCAGGCGGATCTCTGTGAGCTCAAAGCCAGCCTGGTCTCCATTAGCGAATCCCGGCCAGCTGCGGCTACAGGGAGACCTTGTCTCAAAAAGACCAATAAATAAGTAAATAAATAAATAAATAAATAAATAAATAAATAATAAAGATAAATAAATGAAGTAGAGAGCAACTAAGGAAGACACCTGACACCAATCTCTGGTCTGCACACACGTGTACACTCACACATATGCACACTCACATGCACACACACATGCACACACAAAGTAAAAAAATTAAAACGCTTAAGTTTCCTCAGTAAATGAGGAGGTGGCCTTCCTGTACATCTGTACTTATAGAAGATGAAACTTCCTAAGACTTCAGCTCTGGTCACTGCACATGCCCCAATGATTCATCATGGCTTTTGATCCATCTCCTCAAAGGACGGAGGTGTCTGTCCTGGATTTCAGGCAGTCAGTTAAAAAGCTGAGTGCGAACAATTACCACAATGATGCATGTATAGAAATTTTGCTTTTAGACCTTTTTGTAAAGGTGGTTTGTCAGCACATAACTTGTTAAGACTTGTATGATGGTCATTAGTATACCTGAGCGTTTATGCTTACAAAATATACAGACCATTATTATTTAATTTTGTAAAGTAGCATATAAAGTGTTCATCACACTTTTAAGTTTCTCAAATTCCCTTTTAATTATTATTAGTTTTGATTAATGTGTGTCCATGATATATGTGGGCATGTGTGCCACATTATGTATGTATGTGTAATGGGTACATGATGTATGTGGACATGTGTGCCACATGTGTGTATGGTCAGAGGACAACTTTGTAGTCAATTGTGTCCTTCCACCTTTACATGGGTTCCAGGGATCGAACTCAGGTCACCAGACTTGTGCAGCAAGTACCTTTACCCTAGTGAGCCATCTCACCAGTCCTAAATTCCCTTTTAAAAGGGAAATAAATTTAGCATTTGAGTACAAAAAAAAGAAAGATGTAAATATGTCTTTAAAATAATTTTTTATTTTATTTATTACTTTTATTTTACGTGTATGAGTGTATTGGCTGCATGTATGTGAGTGCGCCCATGTCGTACAATGCCATGGAGGTCAGAAGAGGGCTTCAGATTCCCCTAGAACTGGAGTTAAGGACGGTTCATAGCCGCCATGTGGGTTCTGGAAATTGAACCCGGGGTCTCTGCAAGAGCAGTCACTGCTCTTAACCACTGAGCAATCTCTCCAGCCCCTAAAATAATTTTTTAAAAGTATTTTATTATTTTTATTTTATTTTATGTGTATGCGTGTATTGCCTGCATGTAGGTAAGTGCACCCATGTCACACAATGCCCACAGAGGACAGAAGAGGCTGTTGGATCCCCTGGAACTGGAGTTACGGACCATGTGGCCATGTGGGTGCTAGGATTCAAACCCGGGTCTTCTGCAAGAACAGTCAGTGTCCTTAACCGCTGAGCCATCTCTCCAGCCCTAAAATAATTTTTCAATTGTTTTTTTCCCCCAGAATATTTTCAGATGTTGATTTTTCAGGAATTCAACATTCAGGATTATGCTTTTCAGAACTATGGTCCAAATCTAATGGAGTACTATGTAGCTATTAAAAAATGTGAAGACACTCTGTGAATCATCTGTAGGTGGATTTATGAAATGAATGAAGCAAAGAACAAAGAGGGTGTACAGCATGAACAGTGTGCTGCCTCTGTGTAGGAAAGGGAAGTAAGAACACAGGGAAGAAAACCAGAAAACAATGAGCTGGACTGTACACAGGCTTGAGGCGAGTGGGAATGAAGAAAAGGGATTCTGTGGAGAAAACCCGAGGGTCTCTTTATGTAACTTTCTTAACCTTCAGAGAATGAATCCAAGTAACTCATAGGCACAGTTTGACTACAAATGCTCAGCCTTGGTAGGCAGCAGCGAGATGGCAATTAGAGTGCCAAAACAGTTAACTTCAATACTGACCCAGAAACTACTGAGAAAAAGAAAAGGGAATTCAGGAGACCATCAGGATGACAAACATAATTAAATAAACAAAGGGAAGAGAGGGCTTTGGCCTGCAAAAGCATGCCAAGGGCTGGCTGGAGAGAGGGCTGGAGCTAGAAATAGTCACTTTCCAACCACCACAGTAAACATAAAATCTGAAAATTATCAATAGGTATTAAAACCAAGGACATTTTAAAATAAAAAGTGGGTATCTGCATGATCCTGAAGTGCTTCCAAAGCAGGTGGAGCAGGAAGGAGAAGGGGCTCTCCTGGAACCCATCCTCTGCCCCATTCCACAGAGACTGAAATTTGAACAGCTGGTGCGGGGTATAGGGAGGTCCCCAGAAGAGCTAAAGTGCCTTGTCACAGATCAAGGGAAAGGAAACCCACAACATGGATGAAACTGGGTAACAACTGACTGAGAGATCAAAAGTAGCATTGCCAACATGGGAAAGGCTGCTTGCAGAGGCAGTGCCCAGAAAAAGGCATCCCATCACCTGTGAAGTTCATTGGCTGCGAGGACTCTGACCTGATTACAAGGAAGCCACTCTGTGTATGACAGTAGTCTAAAAATCTAACATCAAAAGACAAGCAAGGCTGCCAGAATGTCCAGGCTCATGAAGACTAAAAGTGAACGACAAACACAAAGCCTGACCCTCAACCAGAAAACACTGAGGTGTGGTAGACAGAAAATGAAGACACGGTTAGAAAAGAAGCCAGGTTCTGGTTTACATCTCCAACTGGCACCAAGTCAAGAACTTCAGGACACCTGACAAAATCAGGGAAGATTGCCCACAGAGACAATAATCCTTTTTCTGAGGGAGAACTTAAATAGGAGTACTAAAACCATAAATACACTGTGCAACGGCCAAGAAA